CCGTTAGCCTATGTCAGTTACTCTGGTTCTGCTGCAAATATCCTCATTTTGAATACTACACGATAGTCTTAGTAGTAGTTAGTATTACTTTGATTAAAATAAAGTTGTGTTGAGTCTGTTTTTATAATTCAATTTATTCTTGTAGTTTTATGGGTATTTGTGGATTCGTTTTTCTATTACTTACGTGCATTACATTTAGTTCCTTTTTGCTGGAAACAATTACTAACTGCTACACATAGTTGATAGTGTGATATTTTACAAAATTACAAGATATTAAAATAGCAAAGGTTCCAGGAATGAGGTATATACTATGCATTATACACAGAAAAACGATTTATACATTGCCCTTACAAAAAGGTAATTCGGAGTGAAGGAAAAACTTACTTTGCAGTGAAAAAAATACTCGTATAAGCTTATAAATCGCTCTACATCACAGTCAATGCTCAACATTACAAACTAACGTTTCTCATATATTCTTTGTTCTACGAACCTTTGCTTCTAGCCAAATTTCATGATTCTAGGTCAACAGGAAATGCCCTATATATTTTTATGAGTGAGTTTGCCAGTATCGTAATATTATGTGACATAAATGGCAGTATATTTAATTACGTCGAATTAGACGCTTGAATTTTTTACACCTCCAAGGGACCGTAGGCCTTAGTATGAAATATTAATTTTAATAATTCTACCCGATCCTAATAAAAAGGTGACGGCAGACAGACAGACGGTCAGCAAAGTGATCATGTAAATTTATTACGTTATTATTTGTATCATCATCATCATTACAGCCCTTCACAAGTCCACTGCTGAACATAGGCCTCCCCCAAGTAATGCCACAAAGCACGGTCCTGAGCCACCTGCATCCATCGACTACCTGCATGTATTACCAGGTCGTCACTCCATCTAGTGGGGGTCGCCCTACACTACGCCTACCGGTACGAGGCTGCCACTCGAGAACCTTTTTTCCCCATCGGTTGTCGGTTCTTCGAGCTATATGGCCGGCCCATTGCCACTTCGGCTTACTAATCCGTTGGGCTATGTCGGTCACTCTGGTTTTACTGCGGATATCCTCATTTCTGAGTCTATCACGCAGAGAAACTCTGAGCATAGCCCTCTCCATAGCTCGCTGAGCGACCTTGAGCGTCCTCATACGGCCAGCAGTGAAGGACCACGTCTCTGATCCGTAAGTCATCACTGGCAACACGCACTGGTTGTACACTTTAGTTTTCAGAGATTGAGGTATATATTATATATTCTTTAGTATTCCTTATTTGTATAAGGAATATTAAAGAATACAATGAAAATCATCAGCGATGTTTGTTTGTTTTTAATATTTTACACAGTATAAGCTCTATAACTACTCATGAGCTTGAAAATGCGAACAGATGCTGGCCACATGTAAAGTTTTAAATAAATCTATGCATATAAAAGAGGATTTTTGTATATATGAAATCGGTTAACTCAAAATCTATTTGATCGATCATCATGAAAACTGGTAAAATAAATTATTCAATGCAGGAATTTAACATTTTTAAACTGGAAAAAAAAATGGAAACATTCAAATTTAAATTTTTGATTTCATTTGTTTTTTTCCATCAAGCGCGACAGTTAATAAATTAAATTGCGCTAAAATAAAAATAAAACGTTGCTGAATAAAACCTATGATATTAACTCGTGGGATAAGAGAAGTAAATTTCTTGTAGATCAAACAAAAACCCAAAAGTGCAAATTGACTGATTATGTTATAATATATTGGCTTTAAAATTAACAATATTGAGGCTAAATAATAATCATCTAAGAAAATGAAATCGCTTTATAGGGTTTAGTTATTTGGAAAACTTATAGGTGTCTAGTATGATACATATTTACAATATTATTTTGGCACTTTACTAAAAATATGATACTTTGGGGTGTAAGAATGCTATGATGTATGGTAGAGCAATAGCTCTACCTAACGTTTTTACTAGATAGTTAAATCAATATTGAAGTGAAACTTTTGTTCTTTAGTTTGTACTTTTGAATAAAGGTATTAAGGCAATATAAATAAAATTGCCTTAATACTATTTATTTATATATATAATACTTAATAAAATAAAGTTAGTTAAATTCTAAATCAAATGGTAACCACAATCCCCTTAAATTGACAAGTAGAGCGGAAGTCGCGGTGCTACAGATAATTAAATTTTGTTATATGTTTTAACTTAATTTTTTATGTTATTTTTATCACAGGACACATACTACCTACATCAAGTTTTAAGAATATAAGATTTCAGACGGATGATGTATTATGCAAATGCGCATCTTCAATAATATTTTTTATATATTATACTTTTAAAAGTTCAATTAGTCCAAGAGCCGTGGTAGTTCAGTAGCTTACAGCGGTTGCCATAAATATTATAGTACACGTGTTTGATGCCAATAAAATAGTAAAATGCTTTTCCAAATACTGATTTACCAAGTGCTCAGCGGTGAAGGAAAACATCCTAAGGAAACCTGCATGATTAAAAAATAAAAATAATTCGAAGACATTTTTAGTTCATTTCATAGCTTTAAGTATTTTTGATTTGCAGTAATTTTAAGATTTTATTCAAATACGGCTTAAATTTGTTAAGTTTATGCGAGGGAAGCAAGTTAATGAATGTATGTTATGTTACATTTTCCAGGAATCGGAGCTGCTGCGGTGAATGAGATAGAGCCTAGTGAGAAAGCGAGATGTCGCTATCGAATGACCTAATGCACTCGTCTGCGTCAGCTTTGCACCGACCGTGTTTGAGTGGGTACGATAGTAGTCAGAGAAAACAAGGAAATGTGCTAAATTTTAAGAAAAATAATCTAACACTATGTACTTTAATAATACTATTATTAGTGTGTAAATTAGAAAAAGTTAGAAAAGTTTATTTTTGATAACACTAGTCAATTTAATTTAAAATAAGTTGTCGATTTGCTTTTAATGAAGTAACAACAGAGTTACATAGTTTTAAAACCCCTTTAAATAGTTTTGGGTTCTGTTTCGACAAAATTTTTACGCTTAATAACCGCACCGTTGATAAAGGCATTCTGGTGGGGAACAAAAGCTCAGACCTTTTCAGGTTCGTTCACAAAAACGGTCGCTAAGAGGCCACCGCGCCGCGCTTAGAAATATGTACTGCCAGTATAGCAAAGAATAAAACTTATTTAAGATAGCTACGAAAATTAAGTAACATTATTTTAGTTAAAAAGTAAAATTCAAAACAAAACCTAACCGGGTTATATATTTAGAGTGAAATTTATCTTTAGGTGAAGTTAAAAACAAAAGGAGTTTTATATCTTTCTCATTTAATTTTGAATTATCTAATGTTAGGTTAGGTGAAATTTATCTTTATAAATAAAAATCATTGGCGCATGTATGAAAGATAATCACTTGAGAATGGCTCTGCCGATTTTGATGTTTTTTTTGTGTGTATGTTTGAGGGTTCCCCGAATGGATTAGATTTCCAATTGTAACCAGTAGGTGGTACTGTTATCGAGATCCAGAAATCACCCGTGCCTTACCGGGGCGAATCGCTACTTTACCATCAAACATAGATTTGCTATCCATTTTAAGCAAATAATGTATTTTTAGTTTTCTAAGCTATAAAATAGTATATATATGTCTTGACTTATATGTACTTGACTGCCTCGTTGGTCTAGTGGTTGTAGTAGTGCGACTGCTGATCATGACGTCCTGGGTTCGAATCCCAGGTCGGGCCAAAAATCAATTATTGAGTTTATCTGTCAAGAAATTCTCAGTAGCTGCCCGGAGTCAGGAAGTTGGCGGTGTCTCACCCCCGTGCCTCGGAAAGCACGTAAAGCTGTTGGTCCTGAGCCTGATCTCTCTCCGGTCGTGTCGGTTTACCGTCCCATCGGATTATGAGAGTGGGGGAATAGAGAGTGCTCCTGTGCTTGCGCATACACTTGGGCACTATAATGCTGTCCTGCGCCGATGGCTAGCCTCCGTTGAGGCAGGCCGCCGTGACCGAAATTCAGTCTGGAGGACATTATATATGTCTTATAATAAAGTATTACAAAATTTAAAATTTGCAATTTTGCACATATTTACTTATTTTTTGCTTTTAACACAACATTTAATAGATAATTGTTGTTGGTGAAAATTAACAGCATCCTTTCATTCTCTGTCTAAGTAGATATATTTAATTTTAAATTTCGGTTCGGAACACACTGTTTCATTCATCCTGTCACAGCATTTATTAAAGAAAGCTTTCACCGTAAATGATTAAATTGCGTGATTGAATAGCAGAAATGACACTATATTATCAAAGCTTTCAAAATTATTACTATTTGTGTAATTGTTTTCTGAATTAAATTTCTAATAACCAACTTAAATACTACAATCTTTTAGTTTCCATTATAAGTAGTTGCTTTTTTATAGTTCGCTGAGTCTGTAACTAGTTTTTAGTTTTTAGTACGTTTGTAACTACGTCAGTATAGAGTACTTTTGAAATAACGTACAGTATTTTATAAAGGATGGGGGGCAACCCATAAACGCCATCACAGTGCATATATTACAGCCCATAAAAGTTCACTGCTAAACATACGTATACCCCATTGACTGCCACACATTTGACACACTTGGCAAGCGAATTGGCATCCGCCGTTTTTTTTTAAAAATCGTTATAAGAATTGATATGGACATTGATATATATATTTAAAATTAAACCCCTTTTTATGTATATGGCTGACCGTCTGATTTTTTTCCCTCTGTTCTCACGGGACAATATGGTATAGTGGATATTCTTATGCCACCACTAAACAGTTTCCGCCACGGTCTATTGATTACTGAGGTACATTATAAATACTGAGCACTTTTAAACTATTAACTTAAGTTATGTTACAACAAATGTTTCAATAAGTACATGCGTCCTCTGTGAGGCTAAGCAATTTCACAGCAAATTTTTAAAAGGGTGAATCTGCGTGGTCTGAATGAGTATTTTCTGATCTTTGGCGTAGTGTTGTGAAACGCGATGAGCGTCAGTGCTCGGTCGACCAGCAGGCGCGTCGACGCGGGCTCCACGCGCTCTTACAAAATGGCGCGGCCTCTCATTTACACACATTTTCTAACGTTTATGGCTATTACGTCTGCACAGGATTATTACCATACGCCAAGGATCGGATCACAGGACTTAGCAACTTGTTACAATATCGACGGACAGCCGCAAGTGAGTCTAAACATTTTATCTGGAGCTTTCAAAAGTTTTTGTTTGTGCCTAATTTGACAATTATCAGTTCTCTACCTTTCGTGTCTTTCCCATCTGTTTAACAAAACTTATCTCGGTTCTATATGATTATATTATATATTTTTATTATTTGTACTATATTATCTGAAATATATATTCTTAACTTTTTTTTTTAAATTTAGGACTAATATTATTGTTAAATAATTTTACTGCTGAGGAAAATATTTAATTAACTCTAAAAATAAAAATAATTTTTTTATTTATTTATTCATCGACTTCCTGCATGCCTTACTAGGTCGTCAGACTATTAATTTAGTGTGGGGCCGTCCTGCACTGCGCTGACTGGGACTAGGCTACCACTTTAGTATCTTCCCATCTTATGTCGGTTCTTTGAGTTATATAGTCAGCCCATTGCCACTTCCGCTTACTGATCCCTGATCCGTTGAGCTTTGTCAATTACTCTAGCTACAGCGGATTTTCTGCCGTTGCAAGAAGGTGAAGACCGTATTCTGTGGCATTCCCTGGGGAATGCCTATGATCATAACTCTTCAGTAGACTGAAGAGTTGTGATGAATGAATAACAATATTATTCTTAGTTACTACGAATTCAAAAAACAATTATTGTAAAGTTAATCTAAAAATGTTTCTGTATAAATATATGAATAACAAATAGATTAATAGACCTATTTTTTTAAAAGTAATTCGTTGCTAGCGGTTTGATCTAAGATAGATTATCGTAAGGTTATCGAGTGACAATAAATGTAGTAAGTCCATTAATTCATTAAATGAGTTCGTTTACTATCAGCCTAATGTTTTGTTATCAGGGGCCAACGGAACGAGCTTATCGCTACGCATCCGTTGTACTGGGGCAGATATATAGAGCTTACTACAATTTTGAGCTTGTGAAATTTTATATTGCGACATAATGATCATTGCCCATGAAATTTTCATCCAATCAGCCCTAGTTGGTGGCATGGTCATGGCCCCTTACTTGAAAGATAAATTATGTGGTAATCGCCATGCTATCAAGTTAAATCGGCGATTACAGTGTCAAACGTCTCTCAATTTAAGCGCTCTCCGTTATAAGGAGAGGGTTGTACTTGTACCGTGACTTACTGGTGACTATTGGCTTATACTTAGCACTTGCAACCTTGGGCTTTTAACACCCGCAGGATATAAAATATATATCCAGCATGATGCACCCATACCCAAGTTTATCATTGCTAAATGTAAATGTTCGTTAGCGCTCTGGATAATTGACAAAGTGCAAAAACTAGACAAAAAGTATACTTTTTTAATCAAAAAATCAAAGAGATTCTTAAAGTACGTGCAGTCAAAAGGTTACTGATGGCTGGTAACCACTATTATTTATAAATTTAGCTTTGAAATGTCAACTCTTGCTTTTTTTGGGCGTCTGTAAACATTTACCTAGAATCCACCGCGCGGTCACCTTTACGAATTTTAAGGCATGAGCTGTAATAAACCAAATTATCACAAAGCTTTAGAATCTCAGCTAAATAGCGAATGGTCACATGTCAATTTTCTTTAATAATTTCTTCGATTTTTTAACGTTTTCTTGTGTAGCGGCTGTTGTAGGCCGCCCGGAGCGATTGAAGCGTTGATAGCATTATTAAAGGCGGTTCTGCCACGTTTAAATTCAGAGCACCAGTATGCCACTATAGAATAAAATAAATTGCTAATCGCCAAAGTAGACTTCAGTTCTTCAAAAACACTTTTGTATCAATAATTTCAAGCAGAAATATTCAATAACCGCACGTAATTCGAGTTTCTCCATTTTGCACATGAATCAAATTCCCGCCAAATATGAAGTTCAAAAAATGGGTATACGTAGTTTTTAATTTATTTTTTCCGGCTTGGCTACTAACGAATTTAAGATTAAAAAAAACTAGAAAGCATTTCTATAACTCATTAATAAGTGCCCTATTCCGAAAACTACACTCAACAACGATAACCGTTTGCAATTTTTTTATTTATATCTTTTCTTTGGCTTTGGAGACGTTTTCCTTTTATTTTTGCGATCCAAAGTATTTTCATGTGAAGGAAAACAACACTTGGTTTTTAATTAATAAATTCGATTACTTCCAATTTTGATTGCTCGTCGTATTTGTGCAGACGACTCGAAAATTTGTGCCCAATCCCAAATTGATGAGATTCCTAACGCACTTGCTAAATTTAGTGCTAACGCGCCGATCTGTGTTACGTTTGACATCGCGCTTTTCACCTCACTCCAAAGTATTCTTGTAGGAGGTCCAAAATGCTTTTTAAATTTTTTACGGATATCAATATAACAGTTTAATTTTATTAATTTTGGTAAGGAATGCTGGAAATACCATTAATTTACGGATTTGTTTCCAAGGATGTAGGTACTTAGGTACTATAAAGCTTTATAATTTGTTGCAGTGCCAATGTTTAAAAGAACGAAGAGGTACTTAAATATTTTGAATCTTCTATATAGTATTGTCATCATCGTTCCTTACGCTACACAAATTAATTTATTAACTATAATACCTTGTTAAACGTGATCAACACGTGCGGAAAGCCCACACTTATGAAAAATCAAACTAATGTTGCAGTCCTGCGTTAATTTTTGTTCAGAGACAAGAAACAGATATCTTTTGATAACAATGGGGCACATTGTTAAGTCACCGAAAATCACTAAATATAACGTGGGTGTTATACCATTCAACGGAACGCTAGAAAAATACCGAATGGGTGTCTGAATTATGGGGATGTTTGACATAGTTCTAAGGCTTGGCTAATCAATCACCTCACCTGCCTCTTTCGACATCCATGGGATGATATCGGTAAGTGGATTATGCCGCTTGTAAACGGACTTCCAGCAGGACTGTTCAGCAGTGAACTTGTAAAAGGTTATCATGATGATAATAGTTTGGTGGTTGTGGTAGAATGACGTGAAACCTTAAACGCGTGAAGAAACTAAATTAAAATCAGTAAAATATAAGTAGATATTTAACAATATATATATATATATATATATATATATATATATATATATATATATATATATATATATATATATATATAAAACATGTCGGTTCTTTTTAAATTTATGCCATCATCTGATTACAGTAAAAGGCTCAGGGCTTGTGATAAATGTTAGTAGGTCACTACGCAGTATAATTTTTGTATAACCTTATTTATAAGAATTACCGCGTGCTTTAATTCACAAACTGCAGAAGCATCTTGAAGGTTCTTCAGTAATTTGTGACAATTTTATGAAAATTAAGAAAGTTATTATAAGTGAGGGGGCGGGGGTGACCGTTGAACCGTCAAGGTAGTATGCAGCAATTTTTTTTTCAAGTAAAAACTTATTGTAGCAAGGTTACAATATACAATATACTTATATAGGTTTACAATATAAGTAAATATTATTACGTAAAGTATTGTATATATTGTTGTTTTTTTAATAACCTGCTTGCTTAATAAAATGAATGGCCTTGATGATTTTTGCTTTGATGCACACGTGATATGTATTTGATTATACTTCGAAAATTCAGAAAAAAAGGTAAAAAATGTAACTTTTCAGATATGGCAATGTAACTTTGAAGCCATGCTATACAGCTTATGCTGCTACGATTTGATAACCCACACCCCCAAACTAATGTAACTAAAACGTATTCAAATGATATTGAGGTATCGAGACCTAAAAAATACAGTAAACTAAAAGTACTATTTATAATAAAGTTAAGTGAAATGTTAATAATACTTGTAGATTTTTTATACGAAAACTGATGTATCTAAAACAAAATTATTAAAACACATTCAACGTAAATCATATCATCTGTAAAAGTAATCGATGTAGTAAGTTTTATCCTCTCATCCTCTCAATCAATGGAAAATTTTAGGCACTGAATAAATTAATAAAAAATGAAGTATTTTGAAAGTCTTGTTGTCTATTTTCCCTTTTGTTGACTAAAATATATGTATACGATTATTAGTGCTGTTTAAAACTTAGTTAATCGTAGGATAACTTGTATCGATCTGAAAATGAGATATTCTAAGCGAGAGCTAATATCGGTTGATGCCAACGTCCTAATACACGACGCATACTCTAAATATAGCACTATACTATTTTGGCAGCAAAACTACCATCCGGGACGAGCCTTGTATCAAACATGATTCCTTATTGCCACTTTCATTTATTGTGGACTTTATTAAAAATGTTTATGTTTATTTCAATGTTTGTCTTTCAATTACAACAGTTACGGGTACAAAATACATTATGAACAATAAAGAAGTAATATTATTATAATATTATAAATAATTAGACTTTCTGAAATTTTGAAATTTTCTAGTATTTTGTTTTAAAATTACACATTAATATGAGATCCATACACCAAAATGAAAATAACACAAGCCCTAAAGGCTAAAAGGATCACTTTTTATCCGCCCGTCAGTCCGTCCATCAAGACCCTTATTCTCAGAAACGGGTAGGAGGTATCAGGTTGAAATTAATATCCAATAATGAGGTTTACTTGGAGGTTTTTATAATTCAATGTTCTAAATCAAAGCAATTAAAAGATAAGGCTATTTGATATACGCATACTCTTTAATCAAATCTAGTACTTTCTGTTGATTTAGTATCATTAAATTTGACAAAAATCAAGGTCTCATAGAACAAGTAAAGGAGAAAATCGAAAATCGGTAAATTAACAGTAACATAAATCACATAAAAATATATGTATTTTGCGATTATTAACTTATATTTTGTGGTTAGTCCATAGACCGTGGTATAGACCGGTGTACGGGAGAACACGTTTCACTTCTGAAAAATTAAGTTTGCCCTTTTAAGTCGACTTACCTTTTCGTTAGAGTAGTACTCGATGCTTATAATTTCCGGTGTGAATGAACTATCTATACATATTTATTTATATGGAAACTTCAGGGCCTTCTTGCACTTGTCCGGTTTTCATTCATATTATGTTTGTTAGTACATCATCATCATCATCGATACTGCTTATTACAAGTCCACTGATGATCATAACCTGAGTCCTGAACTTTTTCATAAAACTGAAAGGACAAACGAATTTATAATCCACTTAATGGAAATTAGTAACCGCACTGTCTATCGACATCCGCAGCCAACTTTAGACGAAGAATGTTTTTCACCGAGAAATGCCTCACAGCTAGTAATAATATTAGCTCTCTATACCCTTGAGATCGAATCACAACTATATTGGCGGCAGAATCTATTACCAAGTCGTCTCTCTCTTATATATTGAGTTACGATATATTCTGCTAATATGGTTTTGTATTCCTTCTGTATTTTTGAGTGTTTAAATATATAACAATAAAATACGTAAAGGGCGATAAATAATTATTTGGGGAACTGAAGTTAGATAACGTGAAGTAAAAATGTTTGCTTCGTTTGCACTGATATTCATAGAGAACGAAAATCGTTTTCGACGTCTTTTTTTACACTAGTACGATGATATAAACGGGAAGTCTGTTTATATATTTTAATGATTTGTGTATACTGCTATTAAAATCATAATTCATAAGTTCATAACACATGCTTTTGTGTATAAATCCATAATAATTTTTATTTTAACAATGTTTGAACCTTTTATGAATTCACGAAGATCACTAATAATAATCTAGCTAAAATTTTACTTCAATGATTTTCATTATATTTTCTGAAAATATTTTAAGCATTAATTTCATTAATATCTCCATATTTGAAAATCAATTCCTGTACGTTAGTTTCGCCAAAACTCGAAAACGGCTCGAATAATTAAGATTTTTGTGGGCATTTGAGTGAGTCCTTGAATAGTTTGGATTCACAATTGGGCCCGGTAGGTGGCGCAGTTGTCGAGATCCAAAAAATCACCCGTGCGATTTTGGGGCGAATGGCTTTTTATAGTATAAGTATGACAAACGAGCACACAGTCCCAGTGTTAAAACAGAGGTGCAGCCCTGAGGACTGAGAAGGAATGCCTCGTTTCCAGTAAAAAGGGTCTCCGATTCTCTACACTCACTATTCGAAACACAACGCCATTAAGCTGCTATTTTATTTTACGCTGGTATTCTGTGAGAGCGTGGTCCTATCCCGGTCGACCCAACCCATTCGTGCTGCAACCACAATATAGCTGCAACATGGCTCTACCACGTAAAAAAATAATGGCTATTTAAAAATAAATACCATAGTTAGATATATTTAGTAAAAGAAATATAAAGATCCTATTAGATATATACGGTTTTTCAGTTATTTCTTTGGTTGAGTAAGTTTTGAAGATGAATCGTTCGGTAACTGAAATAATGTGCGTAAATACTAAATAATTTATCTTTAATTTTCAGAGGTGTATACCAGAATTTGAAAATGCAGCGTTTATGGTGCAAATGGAAGCCACCAACACGTGTGGCGACAACGGTCCCAGGATGTATTGCATACAGACATCTGCCGGCAGTTCCGCCGGGACGAGGTAAGAAAACGTTACTGTACAAAACGTTATCATCATCGTGACCACGTCAGCCTTTCAAAAGTCCACTGCTGAACATAGAACAGAATAGAATAATTTTTATTCAATATACAATATGTAACATAATTAACGCACTTTGAGAAAGTAGTTTATTCGGAATGGAATCGATTCGTATCATTTTTAATATAGGTAATTTTGTATCCCAAAAATAATTAAAACTACGTAAATTACAGTCACTCTAAATCTGTACAGTCAAAACAAACTGAAATGAACCGTAACTTAAGGCAATAAGACTTTTAAGAGTGCAGTTTTATTTGTATTATTACTAATTCTGTAATTAAATAAAAATGAACTTTATTTCAATCACTTTAAAGTCTTTGCGTTCGTGGATTTGTACTGTGACCACAACATTCTTCCGGAATTAGTGTAACTAATTTGATAAATAATTAGTGCATAAAATGTTTAACTAAAAATTCAGTGTATGAATTATGATTATAACATAATATACTAATTGGGGTGTCTGAGGGTGTGCGTTAATTACGTTACATATTGTATATATTACAAGTAATTCTTATTGAAAGTCAATATTTTACGTTCCCACTGGTTTAAAAAAATAACATCTGTCCTGGGAAGAACCAGCAAGAAACCCAGCGGGCCTTTTTTTAAAAAAAATTACAATGTCAAGGGTCACAAAACATTTACAAAATTTGTTTTAGAAATAGCTTGGAAGCGACCACCTCATTCCCAGGGGCTATTATTAATCATGTATTCATTTATATCACAATAATCCTTTTTATACAGTTTTTCTTTAATTAAATATTTAAACTTAGTAATATAGAGACCTTGTATATTTTCATAGGCCATAGGCCTCTTCCAGATTATATCACAAAGAACGATCCTGATTTAATCGTATCCTTTGACTTAATGTATCGACGTCGGTCGTCACTTGAATTAGTGGATTTTTGTCATCATCATCGGCCGCCACGACGACAGTCCACTGCTGAGCATAGTTCTTCACCAACGTACGCCGCAAAGACCGATCTTATTTTCCGCACACCCTGTTGTTGCTATATACAAATGATATATTTATAGCCACCTTGCGGAAGTAATCGTGTATGATGTACTATTTATTAGTGGAAACAAAGAAACTTCCACTATTGTTACAGTAACATGTAGGTTTGGATTTATCAGAGGCTGTTAGCCCCGGCTAGGTCTGGATAGGATCTAATAATGTGGCGTTATTTAGATTCCTGATTATCAAAGACCATTTACTTTTTCATCGATTTTCCAAAAAAAAAAAAATAAGTTTTTCGGATAAAATATATCCTATGTCGCTCCTGGCATTGCTCTCCATCCTCCATGTTTGTGCAGTTTATGAAACTGCATAACCATCGGTTCAGCCATTCAAAAGACATCACATGGCAACATTTTTAAATAATGGTTATTTATCTCTTAATAGGATGCCAATAACCGCCTGAACGTAGAGCAAGCCTTTTATTTATGAAACTAATATTTAAATTTTCGTTTTTTCCGTGGCTTTTTCCATTTAGTGCTTGTCTATAATAATAATAACAATGTCCTACAGACCGAATTTACGGTCACGGCGGCCAGCCTCAACGGAGACTAGCCATCGGCGCTGGACCGGATTATAGTGGCCAAGTGTATGCGCAACCACAGATGCACTCTCTATTTATTCCCCACTATGATAATCCGATGGGACGGTAAACCGTCACGACCGGAGAGAGATCAGGCGCAGGACTAACGGCTTTACGTGCTTTTCGAGGCATGAGGGTGAGACACCGCCAACTTCCTGACTCCGGAAAGCTTCTGAGAATTTCTTGAAGGAAAAACTCAATAATTGATTTTTTGGTCCGATCAGGGATTCGAACCCAGGTTCTCATGATCAGCAGTCGCACAATCACAACCACTAGAGAGCAACGAGGCAGTGAACTAGTTTATTTTTAGAAAGTTTCTAGAAACTGACTATAACTCACCAGATGGTCAGTTTTGACATAACTGAATAGTCGAAGATAGTAAAAAACACCCACGTAGTTTAACGAAATCCTATTTCCTCTTGCCTTGAAGACTCTTGACTCTGATTGTAGTCGGATAGAATGACAGACTATAAAATATAAATCCGTGTTATTAACAGCTGCCCGCATGCGGAACCTCAAGGTCGCTCAGTGAGCTATGGAGAGGGTTTCTCTGTTTGCTTAGACTTAAAAATGAGTATATCCCCAGTAGAATCGGGGTAACCGACATAGCCCAACGTATTAATAAGCTGAAGTGGCAATGGACCGGCCATATAGTCCTGGGAATACCCAGCAAGAAATCTAGCAAGACATTTAAAAAAAAACAACAGTTTACAATCATTTAAATTTCGTAATAAGTAACAACATGAAACAAATTACAACTAGCTTGGTAGCGCACCTCATTTCTAACCATTAGTGTAGTGCGTCCCCCCACCAGGTGAAGTGACGACTTGGTAATACATGCAGGAAGTCGATGGTGGGTGCTTTGTGGTATTCCTTGTGGGAGGCCTATGTTTAGCTGTAGACTTGTGAAGAGCTGTAATGATGATTAATGCTATCATATTAAGACTAGTTACGTACATAATTTACTATTTTCGGGCAAAACTTCGTCAACCTTAAAATTTATCCTATAAGATCCATTACACGCCAATTTTGCTTCATATGTCATACTCATGGTTATAAGTTAACAATATGCGGTAGCACAATCATGTTTGTTACCTATTTCATACGTACATGATGTATCTATCTTTCTGTTTAGATTTGCGATTTAAAATAATCATCAAAAACTGTTTTAATAGTTTTTGATTTTCCCGAAATCCCTTTATATTTTTTCGAGACAAAAATATAGCCGAGATTAATCATTAGCGGGAACAGACAGGTTAAAAAATTGGTTATTCATATCTTACTTATTTGCAAATAACCCCTTGAGAAAAGACCCCTTAAGATAAAATACATTTATTTTGATGAGATGGTTAATTTTATGTATAGATGTACTTATACGAGTAGGTATACTAAAATTAATCACAATATTATGTTAATGCTAGAAGTATTTGAATACTTTTAATATTGAATTATTTTTAATAAAATAATATGAAAAAGAAACCTTTTGTATATACCAATACGTGAAAAAGTAAAACTTATTGATTAAACTACTTTTAAGGATTTAATCTCGTTTAATTTATTTTATTTCTAATACCCGAAACGTCGCGTATTAAAAATAAAATAAATTAAACGCGTCAAAATCCGTAAAAGTCCTTTTAATCAATGTGTAGTGTTCGCGTAAATATAAGAAATCATTAATAAAACTAATGTTAATAAATGCTTAATTATTTTTATCATCAGCCATCAGCGAGACAAAAATCACATAAAGGGATATATTATATAACTACATCTTTTAGTTTTGGCTTCCCCGTGGCTGTTCAACCTATTTATGGACAGTTGTTTGCAAAATTTGAAAGTTGAAGAATGCGGATTAAGAATGGGTTAGTTAACCGTCAAATGCCTTTTGTACGCCGATGATCAAGTTATTCTTGCGTCGTCGGCGGCCGAGTTGCAAATGATGGTTACATTAATGAATAGATCATTAAAAGAAAGGGGTATGAAAGTGAACGCAAGTAAGACGAAAGTTATGGTTTTTGAAAGAGAAGAAAGTAAGACGATATGTGAAATAAGAATAGAAGGGGAGTTGATCGAGCAAGTAGTCTATCTGAGTTGCACATTTAGCAGGGATGGGAGATGTGATAAGGATATAGAACGACGAGTAAATGGGGCCCTACACTCTATTGTGAAGAGTCAAAATGTGTTGAAAAACTTGAAAAAGGCACGTATGGCAATTCACAATGCTGTGCTGGTCCCTACTTTAACGTATGGTAGTGAAAGTTGGGTGTAGCAGAAGAAGCACGGAGTAGAACGAACGCAGTAGAAATGTGGTCGTTAAGGAGTATGTTAGGACTGAACCTGAATGACAGGGTGAGAAATTGTGTGATAAGAGAAGAGTGTGGTTTGCAAAATGATGTTGTGACCAGGATTAAGAAAGAAATGCTTCGGTGGTTTGGTCATCTGGAAAGAATGAATGAGGAAAGAGTGACAAAGAAAATTTATGTTGCAGAAGTTAATGGCAGAGCCGGAAAGGGACGTCCTAGGCGAAAATTTATCGACCAAATTGGCGATTTATTGAAAACGGGCCAAATTAGGAGTACCCTTAACCTACGAGCATGTATGCGTAGGTATATGGATGTGAAGGAGGCGAGAGAGGTGTGTCAGGATCGTGCCAAATGGAAGTCTGTAGTCTCTGCCTACCCCTCTGGGTGACGGGCGTGAGTGTTTATGTATATATTTATGTAATTAGAAAATTTCGCGCAAATGTATACACACTATTTTAACTTGAAATATACAACAAAGGCTTTTAGGTAGATAGTATTTAATTAGAACATAGATTTATATTAATATTTTGTTTTCCTACAGGTCCTGTGACTACTGCCAAGCTGGTCAATTTTCGAGTTATTTTCTAACGGATTTGCATTACGAGCAAGATAACCAAACATGGTGGCAGTCCGAAACTATGAAGGAAGGCATTCAATACCCAAATCAAGTGAACTTAACATTACATTTAGGTAAGTTGCATACTCTTATTTATCATGTAAAAAAACAAAATTCCTTGTTTTCTATTAGTGATAATTATTTACATATATATATAATTTTTGTCCATAGGGAAAGCGTATGATATAACATACATTAGGATTGTATTTTACTCACCGAGACCACAAAGCTTCGCGATATACAAGAAGAAAAGTGAAGACTCCGATTGGGAACCTTATCAGTATTACAGGTATAGATGACGATATTTAACATGATTAGCTATATGTTAGCCCACCTAATTCTATACGCTAAACCTCATTTTATTAAAAAAAAGTTACAGCTTACTTTTTACTTTTTACTACTGGGCAGTTTTAAGAGTGTGCCGCGCTACCCTAGTGCGTGTTTACTTTAACAAAATACTTCGAAGTATTAATTCACATGTCTTCGAAATATTTTGTTAATTTCTCCTACAAGTAAGGTTGAAGATAAGGTCACTTTAAATTTTGGATGTATCATTTAAATTTATCTATTATAAAGAGATACTTATGAGAATATTATTTTTCCCACGACGTTTTCCATCACAGCCGAGTATGTGGTAATCTGCACTTAAAATTACAATTAACTTCTGTAAAATTTACAGCGGGCGCTTATACGATGTAGGAAAAATACTTGCATCTAGTATACAACCTAATGCCTCTCCAAGATATAATCATTCTACTAAAAATAGTTCAACCCAAATTAACTCATTCGTTCTGTTAGAAACTGACGAAAAAGAAGTAGAAAATACCCTCATGAATCTAAGATCTAGTAGCGCTCCGGGCTGGGACTGTATTTCTATTACCTTCTTGAAACTTGCAAAGAAAGAACTCGTACCCATCATTACTCACCTTGTAAACCTCTGCTTTCAGCAAGGTATATTCCCAAATCCACTAAAAAAATCTTTAATTACTCCAGTGTACAAGAATGGAGATCGAGGTGATGTTAGTAATTACAGGCCAATTTCAATTCTCCCTGCAATTTCTAAAATAATAGAGAAAATTATAAATACTAGACTCTTAAATTATCTTAACAAGTATAAACTTCTATCTCCTATGCAATTTGGCTTCAGGCAAGGTAAATCCACAGAGGATGCAGTAGCTGCCCTAAGTCAAATTGTAACTGAACAGTTGGACAAGGGAAATAAATGCTTATCAGTGTTCCTGGACCTCAAAAAAGCCTTCGACACAGTTTCTATCCCTATTCTTGTACATAAACTGGAAAGACTTGGTATTAGAGCCAATGCACTGTCTCTTCTTAAGAGTTATCTCTCGGATAGAACTCAAAGAGTGAAGCTCAATACATTCATGAGTGATGACGTCACGGTATCATACGGCGTGCCACAGGGTAGTGTATTGGGCCCCACACTTTTTCTTGTTTATATCAACGATCTTTGTTGTCTGGAAATCGATAAAGCCCATATTCTATCCTACGCCGACGATACAGCTGTTATTTTCACTGGAAGAGATTGGAATGATGTTAAGAAAAAAGCGGAGTTAGGTATGAGTTTAGTTGCTGGCTGGTTAAAGGATAATCTTCTTACCTTAAATACAGACAAGACCAACTTTATTTGTTACAGTATCCGTGACCAATCACAACCTAATCTTGAATTTAAAATCAAAATACACTCCTGCAATTCCTATCCCGGGTTGGCTAACTGTGTTTGTCCCGTTATTAAAAAAACTGACAAAACTAAGTATCTGGGGGTGATAGTTGACCAACGATTATCCTGGCATCCACATCTTGAACAAGTAACAGACAAGGTTAGGAAACTGATCTGGATATTTAAGACCTTAAGATATGTGGTGCCGGGTGAGAAATCAGGTAGCCAGTACTATCATAGAAATATACTCAGGGAGATCTATATGGCATTAGCACAGTCCCTACTAACATACTGCATCCCAATCTGGGGAGGGGCAAGTAAAACCAAAATGTTGGAAGTGGAACGTGCACAACGTGCTCTTTTGAAAGTAATGCACTTCAAAAAAAGGAGGTTTCCAACTGACAAACTTTACTCCATTAGTAAAGTCTTGTCAGTGAGAAAGCTCTATGTTCTACTCACTGTATTAAAAAAACATAAAACTTTAACCTACGATGACAGCATTAAACAAAAAAGAAGAAAAACTGTCGTTGATTTAAAGAAATTCAAAACTGCATTTGCTAGTAAACAATACTCAAGCCTCTCCGTTTTACTATATAACAAATTAAATATAGAACTAGAGATTTACAGCAAAACAAAAAAAGGAATGTAAGAAATTGATTTCAAATTTTTTAACTCCCTTAAATTATGAGGAAACAGAGAAATTATTACAATACAGATATTGAATGAACACATACACATACATACTCAGAACATACTCACACACTACTCATACAACATGCTCAAATTTATATTTCACACCACATACTACAACTAAAACTAAATACACATACACTCTATGGATGTAAAATACTACCCTAATATATGATATTATTGATGTTTTAATGCTTTGAGACTAATGGTAGGATACTAATTGATAAACATAACATAACATAACATAAACACTCACGCCTGTCACCCAGAGGGGTAGGCAGAGATTACGGACTTCCATTTGGCACGATCCTGACATACCTCTTTCGCCTCCTTTACATCCATATATCTACGCATACATGCTCGTCGGTTAAGGGTACTTCTAACGTGACCCATTTTCAAAATATCGCCAATTAGCGCCCGAACTTAATAACGTATCTCTTTTTTAGGATTAATAGCAATCCGAGATTGTACCCTATACAAAGATCGATCCAAATCCACATCCCAATAACATAACTTAACAAGCCCAATCTTTTTTTTGCGGCGATCGCAGTCGATCCAAACAGATGTTTGGATCGATCCGTTTCCTCTCGACTGTTTCGTTTTATGCATAGCGACTATTGCTTCTTTCAAATAGTTGTATTAATATAATAACATAAAATGTAATTTTAGATTTATAACTATTGACTTTAATTAGAAGTTATTACATTAACTCCTTTTTTCTCCCTAAAATTATAAAATGATTATATTTTTATTTAAATCAATGTAACTATGGTTTGAAAACAATCACGTAACGGAACGCCGCCGGTCAGTAGCGGCCGCAGCGTCATCGGTCATCGCTCATCGCGTTTCGCGTCGGTCAAAACAATTATCAAGTTCAGCTTCGGTTCGATCACAGTTCGAGAACAGAAATATTTACAGCAAATACTTTTTGAATAATAAAATAATGGAGCCACAAATAGTAAGTTAAATTGTAATACATTAGATATTGTATCATTTGATGCTTGATGTACAACTACATAAATCGCTTTTTATTTCAGATAAAGAGCAAGCCACTTTCAAAAGATGAAAGCAAAGCCTTACTCGAACTTATTGAAATGAGCAAAATTATAATATCTAAAGCCACAAACGCCAGCAGCAATAAAATGAAAGATAAAGAGTGGGTACGAATAGCCGAGCAGTTTAATGCTACAGGAACAAGTTGTCGTCGGACACCACAACAGCTTCGGCTGAAATGGGAGAATTTAAAGAAGAATGCACGTAAACGTTGCACTAAAATAAGAATGAACAGCATAAACGTTAGTTTCGTTGTTTATTTATTTTTAATCTAAGTATAAATAAATGATTAACCATTTTATTTACATTCTTTATTAATTTCATCTTTTTGATTTGCAGACTGGTGGTGGTGTTGGTGAGTATATACCCCCAGACGAAATACTGGATCGTGTTACCAGCTTATTGGGGAATACAGCTAGTGGATTAGTTGTTCCTTATGGGGGAGATAGGGAACCCGAGCACTTTGTAGTGATTAGTGATGGTGGTGGTATCGTGCCAAATGGAAATGGTGTAGAGGAATTAGGTGGTGATGCTAGGGTCAATCTAGAAATCCTAGAGTTTCAGGACACACCAGTGCCAGATCCGCAAAAGGAAATGGTTGTGACCCCTACTTCTCCACATTCAGCAATGGCTCAGGTTAACACCTATGCTGTTGCTGAACAAAATAAAGTTTCGGATACACCACGGAGAGTAACATTCAATGTTCCTAAAACAGGTAATGGTTATTTTGATGTTGATAGAATTTTAATTTATAAGATAACAATTTCACATGGTGTTCCATTCGCTGAGGTGGTGGTATGGTCAAACTTGTAGTCCGCTTTAGTTTAAAAGCAGTGTAAATTGAGGTAAAATAGTAATAGGCAAAAGATATACTCCTTTTTTATTTTAAAAAAGGCTAACTTGTAATTTAATAAATTAAATTAATTTGTATTTTACAGGTAAAAGGAAATTGCAGGGTGATGGGTCCAAATCTGCTAGAGACCGTGCCATTGCAGAATATTATACATTTAAAAAACTGTGCCTGGAGTCAAAATTAGAAAATATAAAATTAGAAAATAAAAAACTTAAACTACAAAATGAAAAACTTCTATTAGAAATAGAAAATTTTAAGAAATAGTTATTTGTGTAATAGTATGTAAGTGTAAAAAATAATTAAGTATTCTGATACATAAAAGACAGTCATGTCTGTAAATAGTTGTTAATAAATTCAAGCTTGTATGTATTCATGATTTGTAATATTAGTAGTTATATAGTTTGTATTTGAAAATCTTTTAACCAATAAAATATGTATGTAATAAATGTATTAAAGTTAGATTAATGTCTTAGTAATATAGTAATTAAAGAGTAAAATCATTTTTATTGAATATTTGTTTTATTTTTACAATTAAATTCACAAAATATAAAGAAAAGTAACACTTGTCAAAGTAACTCTTTTTACGTGGTAGAGCCATGCTGCAATTATATTAGTAGTATAGTTGTAGCACGAATGGGTCGGCTCGACCGGGGAAGGACCACGCTCTCACAGAATACCAGCGTGAAATAGTAGCTTAATGCTGCTGTATTTCGTATGGTGAGTGTAGAGAACCGGAGACCCTTTTTACTGGAAATGAGGCATTCTATCTCAGTCCTCACGGGTGACAACGCATCTGCATTTTGATTCGTAATCGAGGATAGATGTAGATGTCTATGGGCCGCAGCAACCACTTACCATCAGGTGGACTGTGTGCTCGTTTGTCACCCTATCCTATAAAAAAAAAAAAAAAAAAAAAAAAAAAAAAAACTTGTGATCTCTGAGTTCTTTGCCTGCTAAATAGCCTATAATATATAAATATTCTTATTAGCAACTCGTGTTTAAATTGAACAAAAATTTAAAAAGGG